CGGGCCCTGTGTCCTCTCCGAGTACCAGGCCTTCAGGTGAGCGCCCCGCCACCCTGCCAGCCGCGGCCCGGCCGAGGGGAGGCCCCCCGCTTTGTTTTGGCTGCTTTTACAACATGGCAGTAAAACAGCCGTGCCGGGGTGAACCTTCCTGATGCCCCCGCGCTCTGTCACAGGGAGAACGTGCTGAAGAACCTGGATGACAAGGCTTTTGATAAGCCCATCTGCGAGGCCCTCTTAAACCAGAAGTTTTTCAATGGAATTGGGAATTACCTCCGTGCTGAGATCCTGTACAGGTAAGATGGGTTGAGGAGCATCTACTGACCTGCCATGGAGGTTTGGACTCCAAGAGTTTGCCGGAGTTTGCCGGCTGGGCCTCCTCACCTGGTAGACACGGGCAAGTGCCAGAATCAAGAGTTCAGGCTTGCGGGTAACAGATGGACTCTCTCAGGTTGAAGATCCCTCCCTTCGAAAAGGCTCGGACCGTGCTGGAGGCCCTGAAGGATCAGGAGCAGGCGAGGAGGAAGAAGGTGGGGAATACCTGGTGCTTTCGCAGGCTCAGAAAGGGGCAGGTGTCCTGACAGACACCACACCAGGGATTTGTTTGCCTGGTCTCGGCAGCTCCCTGGGCTCTTGCGAGCCTCTTGCCTTCCGTGCAGGGAGGCGGACTGAGCTGAGAAGTGTTCCTGATGCGGGTTTGGGCTCAGCAGCGGCAGAGCTGGTTCAGTTTGCTTCCAGCCCCCAGTCCGGGCTCAGTCAGCCACCCCGCTCTGGCTCTGCTTTGGGCTTAGCTGGGCGCAAAGCTCTAGTTCAGGTCTGCTGGTTTGGGTTTGTTCCAGCCCAGTGTTTGGGGCCAGTTTCAGTTTGTGTTTGATTCCACGCTTTGATGGGGCAGAACATTGTCACGAGGCCCTTGCGGAGCTCGCACAGCCTCTGCCTGCACCACTGGCGGGAGTTATTTGCTGCTCTGAGTCTTTCCCGACCCGCTGGTAGGCATTTTCCCTTCACAACTATATAACACTGCTGCGTGGCATCCTTCTCCTCGAGCGTGTTACTGTCCTTTGCTGTAAACACCCTTGCCTGAGCACATCTGCCCCTCCAACGGAGCGCAGCAGTTCCGTAACCTCACGCCTGCGGCACTTGCTCGTGCGTGGCTGGGCTGACGAGCTGTGACAGCTCCCCCGAGATACATGCCTGCGCGCGGTGCTGGTGCCCGGCAGCGACTGACTTCTGCCGTCAGGAAGTCTCCAGGTATATTTGGGGTGGGTGAAGAGGAAGGGGTGAGGAAAACTGACACCTCGCAAGCTTAAAACCTCTGGGGAAGGCTGCAGTAGAGCCCATGGCTGATCTCATGGCCTCGGGGGAGAGGAGGTGGCTATTTTAAAGGAGGCTGAAAACAAAATGTGCGGCTGGAGGGCTGTTTTTACAAGCTGCTGGTGTTCCTGTGTGCTAGCCCTCTTTCATGCCTTTATAGCTGTGGGGAATGTGCTAATGTGCAGTTCGCAGCCTGGATATGGAGTCTGTGGGGTGAGCTCAGGGCTGGCACATGCCGTGGCAGGGTACTCACTGGGGAGCGTGGCAGCTCATCCTCAGGAGGGCAAGAAGAGATGGGGAATTTGGCGGGTGTTGGGGAGGAGAGACCCTGATGAAGCAGGTGACTTCCCTATCCTTCTCCACCCCTGCAGAATCCTTCCCTGACGCTGAGCAAGAAGCTGAAGCTGATGCGGGAGAACCTGGATCTCCTGGAGCTGTGCCACACTGTGCCCATGGAGGTCATCGCGGCGGGTGAGGTGACAGGACGGAGAGCCAGGGAGCAGGGACAGCTGAGGCTGGCGAGGAGGCCTGGGCTTTTCATTTGTGGCAGCAGGAGGCTCGGGAGGGCACCCCGACACCATGGTCACCACTTGCTCTCTACTTCTGTCCTTCCCCTCTCTCCCTTCCCAGAGAAGCAGCTCCTTGACCCAGATCACTCAGATAACCACACCGCTTTCAAGAACTGGCTGCAGTGTTACCTGGTGCCTGGCATGAGCTCCCTGCGCGACCGCAATGGCAGGACCATATGGTTCCAGGTAGGAGTCAGGGGTCGCTGCCTGGGGCTGGGTGCCACCCCAGTCACTCCTCCAAGGGGACATCAGCCCATTTTCTGCTTCCCGAGACCCCCCAGCATTATGTTGTGTTGCTGGGGATCTCCCTCTCCGACAGATTGCTGGACGCGGAGGTGACAGGGCCCCTCCGTGTGGTGGTCAGCTGGCCAAGGGATGGCAGGCAGTCTGGAGCAGAGGGGCTGATTGTGGGAACGGGGGGCTCAGGTGGTCTGGCAGCCCTGTACCTCCCTCCTGCGCCCCGTGTCGGGGTGAGGTGCTGCGGTGGGGCCTTGCAGAAGGAGCAGGGGCTGGTGGGAGAGTCCCCGAGGCACAGGGCAGGCAGAGCAAGTCCCGACTCCCTCGGCTTCCCAGGCAAACGTGGCTGTTTCCCTCTCACTTCTTTTGGCTGTGGGGTGGAGAAGGGGCACGGATTCTTCTGCTGCTACCTGCAGAACGACTGCACCCCAGTCAACCCTCTGTCACCTTCCTTGCAGGGAGAGCCTGGCCCCATGGCTCCCAAAGGTGAGTGTCCTCTCTCCTCCCCACGGCACCCGCTCTTGAAGCCTCTCCTCGAGGCTTCCTACCAGCACACCCGCCTGCGGGGCACTGGGCCTCACCTACATCCCCTCCCTCGCCTGCCAGGCGGGGAGCCCGAACTGAGCAGTGTTTTGGTTCCTCCCCAATCTGATGGGAGGGGAGAGGACCCCCCTTGAGCCCTTCCTGCCAATTCCCCACCTCTGCCCTGCTCACACATCTCCCGGGACAGTGTCCCCAAAAGGTCACTGTGCCACAGCCTGTCCCCTGAGGCGCAGGCGCTCTCGGCCCCCTCTCCTCCTCACCCCGCCTAACCCGGGCACGTCTCCTCACGCAGGGCAGACGTGCCGCAAGAAGTGCGCTCGGCTGAAGGCAGCTCCCGAGGCGCAGACCCCCAAGGTAAGGAGCTTTGCGGTTGATGCGGCTCCTGCTGGGGCTAGAGGCTGTCCCGTTCCCCCGTGTCCTGCTCGGGCTGCTCCTGAATTCAGGGTGGGGCTCCTACTTGGAGTTTCGCAGCAGCCGGCGGTCCAAGCACGCCTCTCTTGCTAAGCTGCGGCTCCGGTGTCCACCCAGGTCACTACGCGTGCCTCGAAAACGCACCCCAAGGCTGCAGCGAAAGCCCTGAAGCCAGCTGCGGAGGAGCAGGTGGCCGACGGGCCGAGGAAGGGACGTTCCCGCGGGAGGAGGAAAGCGACTGCTGCTCCGGCCTCCTCCGAGCCTGAGGCGCCGGTCAAAGCCAAAAGAAGCCGCCGGCCAGCTGCGCGCAGGGGCGGAGGTGAGGCTGGCAGTGCCTGCGGCTTTCAAGCGCACAGGCGGGGGCTGTGGGAGTGCTCCCTCATGTCCGGGGTGCCAAAGGGCAGGAGAGGAGCCAGTGGGGCAAGAACCAGGCACCCCTTCACCCTCTGCCCTCTTGTTTCCCTCCCTGTTTTTCCAGGTGCAGCCCCTGCCGTCTGAGCGCCGCACGCTGCCCTTCTCCCGAGGGGCATTTTAAGAGCTGCAGGAGGAGCTCAGGGAGGGCCTGGCCGGGGTTAGCGCTGGGGAGAAACGGGGCTGCTCTGTACCTGTGCTCACGCCCGCTTGCTACCGCTGCGTCCGGCCAGTGTGGGAAGGAGAAGCTGGGCTTGGTGACGGGGCTGATTTATCCAGTGGCCTCCTGCTGCCCTCAGGCATTTGACAGGGATAAGGGCCACGGAGTGCACATTGTGCTGGACTCTGAGCCTTCCCTCTGCCTAGAAGTGGATTCCCTCTTCCTTCCCCTCTTCCCTTTCTGGCTGCTGCCTGGATCACTGTTTTTAGCTGACTAATAAAGTATTTTGTGTAGAAATCACCGTGCACGCTTTTTTGTGCTAAGGATAACCCACCCTCTGCCCATCCTCTTCCCTAGATGGGCTGGAGCAGGCTTCCCGTCCACCTCAGCCTCCCAAAAATAGAGGTAAGCTCTGCCTCCCCAGTCCACCAGATCCTGGTGGGGAGGACACTAAGAGAGCAGCAGCTACAATGGAGCCCCTGGGAGGAGGCAGATTGGTGCAGTTCTCTGGAAATAAGTTAAGAAAACAGGCTGGAGCTTATTTTCATGTAATTCTCCTCTTTACTTGTGCTCCCCTTCTGCAAGGGCGGTGCAAGAGGCAGGCAAGGGGAATGACTGCAGTCCGTTTTTACACTCGCTGCTTGGGTCTGGAAAAAGATGAAGGCTGAGACGCAGGAGCCACTGCGGAAAGCCGCTGCTCCCCAAATCCCGTCGGGGTCAGAGCAGAGCCCGTGCAGGGCCAGCCGGCCTGTCCCACAGCCCTAACCCACGCGTCAGCTAGCTGGGGACTCGCTTGGGCCCTCCGACCTGCTTAGGCGGGGGCAACTGTCCTCCCTCCTGAAGGACATGGCTGTTCTCAAGCGCTGCTCGCCGATGGCTGGGCAGGGGCTGAGGGGGAGACTCTGCCCTTCCCTGGAACCGCCGCCTCCTTGCACAGCTCTTGGGATGGAGGAAGCCTCAGGCTGCCCTTCGAGCTCACGGTGTTGGTCCAGGTTGCCACGGCATCAGCAAGGGTGACTGATGGCGTCACTGCCTCAAGACCAAGAGGACGGAGAGC